AGTGGGAGAACTTGCACAATTGGTGGCTGACTAAATACTTTTTTGCCCCACTGTATTGTTGTCAGCAGGCTGGGAATCTGGGAGTTGTTTTCTCACCCATCTAGGGGCACCAATTTGGAGAAAGCTGCAATAGACCCAACAAACTGAAGGTGGCAATTACCGCAAAATATGCTGGTAGGCATTCAAAAGTCAGTATGTGGAACAAGTAACTTACATAGGCTCTTATCTTTCTGCATCATTTTTCTGACCCTAGCTCATCCCTTCAGAAAAATTTTACAGGGATATGTTTTTGGAGATGAGTGCACTCAAGCATTAAGTAAAGTTTCTCCCTGGGCATAATATGCATTTTCCTGAAACTGGTTTTTCTGGCTTGTAGTCCTCTGATTTGTTTTTCTCCCCCGAATCCAGTAGCTGCTTGTTTTTTTATTCAACCGGAGGAGGTAGGGCAAAGAGGCTAATAGGCCAAATATAGTTCTTAGGGTATTTCTTTCCCCGATGGCCTGCAGTTGATAGATACAAAAAAGAAGAAAGGCGGAGGAGCAAGAAAGCCAGGAGAATAAGAATAAATGATCTGCAGAGACAGCTCTTGGAAAGTGGTAGTCAAACAACAGTTGATCACCACTCTTTCTTTTCTGTGTTGCAGTTAGTTGATGTGGCTGCCGATACGGACTATTCTAGAGATGACCAGATATGTGTAGCCCAGGGTCCTTCACGTTAACAGCTTTGGAAAAAAGTTTTATACATTAAGGGTTTATTATGATTGTTTACTAAATTTTAGTGAAGTGTTAAATCTCTGCCTCTGTCCTGTTGTCAAGAAAATGGATTTAATAATTATACCAAGAATTGTTGCAAATATTCAGATAGTAGCCCATAGGTTTCTAGGATCCAAAATGCACTGGCACCTCTTCCTGTAATGGATTGTTTAGGGCACTTCACTACTAGTGGTTTATCGTGTCTTCATTGCACCATACAAGCATCTCTGAAGTGCCTATTATTATTATTACTTTTGCACGACCCTAGAAGATGCCACAAGTCACTAGTGGGGAAATGTTGTCTGGGGAGCCATGCTTGTTGCAGGAAAGCACCATTATATGGCAACTAGGTTCACTCACCACCCCTTAGCCAAAACCAAGCAAGCTGTGTATACTTTCTGAAACCCAGTCAGAGGGGTCTGCAAAACACTGCTTACGGGTTTTATGGGTCAGGTCTATGTGTGTATGTGGGGGTGGGCAAATGAAACCTTTGTAAAATCTTACAACAGTTTGAAGCATTGACAATGCACATACTTTAGCATGCTGAAGTTTGAAAGTACATAATACTGACACAAATAGCATATCGGTAGTATTAAGAGCAAAAGTATTCCCTATACTTACCAAGTGATTTTTTTAATGCTCTCTCTGTTCTTCATGCTCTAATAAAATATTCTCATTCAACTCTTATCATTCATAGGGGTAAAAACGTGCCGTATTTATGCAACATTAAAATTAGGTATGTTTGTTTTTAGTGGCTGACTAAATATAACTGAATGTATGACAACAAGAATGATCTGGAAAAACTGCATTAGTTCAAAAAATAAAATGAGGAAATTAATACAGGATCAGTTTGATGCTCTGCTTCAACTGGGTGCTAGGTCTGGGTCGTTGCTGCTTCATATTTTAGTAGAAGGAACAAGATGACCAGTTTCTCTCTTTCACTTCATTCCTTCAGAAGCCTTGACAATGAACTTCTCATAGCTAGAACTTTTCAGTTTTCTTTCTGAGAAGCTTTTCCTTATAAGGAAATGTTTTTAAATGTTCTATCCCTTTTCACAGAACGGTTCGGGTCTGGATGAAGAGAGACAATGGTCAATACTGGCCAAGTATCTACCATGCAATGTCATGTAAGTATTTTGTGATATTAAATATTATTTTCCCCTTATTTTTTCTCACTGCCTTGTTTTGCATTTAAATGTTAGAAACATACAGTTGAACAGTGCTTAAAATTTTAATAGGAGAATAGACTAATAAGTGGTAGGTTCTGTTAAATTGTACAGCAGAGGTTGCTGGCCTTAATTATACCTAAAAAACATGAAACACATCCAGACCTAGTGATGCAGAAGCAAATGCTGGCAGGGCTTCTACAAAAGATGGAACCAGTTTAAACTTGTGACCAAAAGATGCATTTCTGTATTAGAGCTCTCTGGGTTGCAGAAAGGGGCATGGTTGATTTGTGTAGGTAGTTAATGCATGAAGCCAAGAGACTGAATGAAAACTGTTTGTAAATTCAGGCATGTGGGTTTATGGGCAATTTTGATTTGCATAAGTGAAAAATATAGTATCTGGGAAAGGTTGCATAAATAGCTTTGAGGATATCTAGATTTACCTGAAAATTTGATTGCTATTTTTTTTTCTTGTTTAAACTGGAAGTAAGATCAGCCCAAGTAGACATCTGATACATTGAAAATATTAAAAATCCAAAAGTTATAACAGGTAGAATATTTTTGATCTGGAGATGGCTATCAGTTTAATTAAACTGACATGGAAATAATCAAATACTGCATAGCTAAAAGTGTGTCAACGTGTATCCATTAGTTGATATCTTTGATCATTTTAATTTCTGATGATAAAAGATAGCCAACTTGATCTGAAACATCCAGAGTCATGACTTGTAGCTATAGCGATGAGAAGAAATTACCCTGAAATGTTTTTATTTATTTCTTTGTTGGATTTATATCTTGCCTTTATTCACTTCTGGATACATCAACCTCATACCTTGTGAGTTAAATTTAATAAGTCATCCAAAGATGTTTGGTTTGTATTGTGTCTCATCGGCTGTCAGAAAAAGACGTGGAGCATTAGAACAGATTGTGAGAACTCCTGGCCTTAGAAAACTTTGGCACAACCCATGTGCTAAAAAACAGGAGCACATTGATTTGCTTGACTTGGGCCTAATCTCTCTTTATGAAACGATAACTGCGCCATCTTCAAGTAACCTTGTCGCAGAGTCCAGTAGGCACAAACAACTCTAAGACCCACTTCTAGCCCTGTATTTGGTGCTCTGGCCGTGCTGGTGCCTTTTTCCTCTCCTGACTCTGCACAGTTAGTTCTACACCTCTTGCTCCTCTGTTAGGCTTTGAGGTTTAGCCTACATTTGTTTCGTTTCCCCTCAGGCTGAATTTTGATTCAGAAGTCTGGAAGAGTTTTTTGTTGCACTTGTGACTGGCAACTCACAGGCCTAAGAGTTAAAGTACACCAGCTTCATGATCAGTCCCCACATGTTCTTGTGGTGCGAGTAGGGGGTGCTTGGAAGCCACATCATTCCTTCCCTCTTGCTCTCACCTCTCATATAAGAGCTCTATCTGAATTTTATCATATGTGCATTATACTCTATATATTATCCAGCTAAAGGTAGTCTGTACATTTAATTCCCTTTTTTTTTTCATTCTTTATTAATCCTTTCTGTTAATGTGCTTTCTGTAACAGGCTTATTAATCCTTTCTAATCCTTCTGTGTTTTTTTCCCCCTAACCTCCTGGCAGTAACCTAGGTGGGAAGGGAAACATCTCAATGCTGCCTTTGGTTCAACATGCAGGTAGTCCTCAACTTACGACCACAGTGGGAACCGGAATTTCCATTGCTAAGCAATGAGGTTGTAAAATGAGATGTTATGTGACCACATTGTTTAGTGACAGCAATCCCGGCACTCCCCGTTGCAGTTGTTAAGTGAATTCTGCCAGTCTTTAGCTGAGGACCTACCCCAATCCAAGCCATTCCAGGCTTGGTCTCTCTCAACCCTGAGTCTCAGTAAGGTAAGGGACTGCTTCCAACTCCCCCCATCTCTGTTCTTTTGGCTGCCCTGCACCCTGCCTTGTGGGGCAGCAAGCAGCGTCAGAACTGCACAGCTCTGGGGCTGCTTGCCACACCCCAGGAAGCCCCAGCTGACCCAGCCCAGTCCCAGCCGCAGTCGCCCTCGCCACTCTGCACTCCGAGACTCCTGCCGCCCTGCACTCCACTGCCCCAGCCAACCTTCACCATCTTCTTGCTCCCACTGCTGATGAGGCATGCCCTGCCTGGCAAAAGCAAGGCAGCAAAAGCAGTATTGCCCAGCAGTGCAGTGTAAATAGGAATGCCAGCCAGTGGAGAAGGCAAGAAGCGGTTTCACCCAGTGGAAAAGCGCCAGGGGTTGGCTCAGAGAGCCACTTGCAGGAAGCGTTTGCGAAGGGGCTGGCTTTTGCCGGCTTGCAATACAGGTAATTTGTCCTTTTTTATGACTCCAAAACTTATGACAGAAATGTAGTCTGATAAACTAAAATCAGACTTCTTTACCTTTGTCAGCTATTTTGACAACTCAGGATGCATAAAACATTTTGATGTTGCTAAGTTAACTTGGGGTAAACAACTTCCATGGATGCTAAGATGGCAACAAGGTATTAAGTTAGTCAAAGGTGTTGTTTGGGCAGTATGAAAAATTTTCCTCACCCTTTTATGAACCATGACATCTGCTTTGTTTTCTCTTTTCATCCAGTCTAAATGAACACTTTTATTACTGTAGTCCCAGGGTGGGCAACTGTTTGATAACCATGGGCCACTAAACATTTTTCAAGGTGCAGAGGGCTACATCAGACCTTTGGATGGGGCTGAGTTTTGGGGCAATCTTTGTTTTTAAACTATGTTTCTTTTAGAACTTAAACTAAGTTGTCCAGTTTCTCACCACAGATTAGTAGTGCTGTTAGTTTTAAGCAGTGATAGTAAGAAGGAGATTATATTTCTGCTGTAACATCAGTTTAAAGATTAAATGGACTGACACTCACAACAAGGATTTTCAGCTTTCTGGAGGCCTAGTGCAAAATCTGTGCCATCACCAGTGCATTCTGACTGGCTAATAAATAATGTATAGAGCCAGACATATTTATTTGCCAGTCAGTAGCTGTAGTTGGGTCAGATTGGGTTATGATGGTCCTTCAGAATGGACCATTCCTTGGTCTATCCCAAAGTTAGTTTTTTCAGCCTGCATTTCAGACTTGGTTTGTTTGTGGTATATATCCCATCCTGCTTTACAGTTTCACATGGAGATAAACTTTTCCCTACCAGAAATGTTGGTGCTCATATAACCAATAATTGCATGTGCAAGTAATAGATACAGGTAGTCCTCAACCCATGACCATTCATTCACAACTGTTTGAAGTTATAGTGGTGCTGAACGAATGGTGGTTACGACTGTTCCTCAGAGTTCTGGCTGCCCCAGCACTCCCATGGTCATGTGATTGTGATCTGGGCTCTTGGCAACCAGTTTGCACTTACGACCAGTTGCAGTGCCCCATGATAACATGATCGCCATTTGCAACCTTCCCTGCCAATTTCCCCAGAAAGTCATTGGGGAAGCCAGCAGGGAAGATCACAAGTTGCTGGGGTAAGTGTCCCCCACCCGCACACCCTCCCCCAGCCCCTATGCACTCACGCCACGCTGGCCACTTGCGCATTCTCCCCGACCCATTCCGCACCCTCATGCGCCCTCCCCAACCTGTGCCACACCCCCACGCACCTTCATGCACCTTCCCTGACCCACCCCACACCCTTGTGCACCTTCTCAACCCACACCACAACTCTCGTACACCACCTCATACCCTCACACACCTTCCCTGACCCATGCCGCACCTCTCATGTGCCCCCCACACCCTCCCTGACCCTTGCCACACCTCTCGCACACCCCCTCACACCCTCATGCACCTTCCCCAAACTGCACTATGCCTCCCGCACACCCCTCACTACCTCCCCCACCCAGCAGCAGCCACTTACCCGCCTGCTGGCCTGGGACTTGCAACTTCTTGCTGGCTTCCTCACTGACTTTGGTTGTGGGAAGCTGGCAGGAAGTTGCCTTGCCTAATGACCATGGGATTCAGTTAATGATAGCAACCGGACTGCAGGGGTTGCCATCACTAAGCAGTGCAGTTGCGCTTTATGACAGCATCACTTACTGATGGAAATTCTGGTTCCAATTGCCATCGTAAGTTGAGAACTATCTGTAGATAGCTTTACAGCATGTATTCTAGATCCTGCCCATCCTGGCTTCTAATATTGGAACAGGACTGAATATTAGGATTTCAAAAGGAATAAAATAGTCCGTACTCTCTTTGAATGGGTAATGATAGATTGCTACTGAAATGGTTAGCCCTAAGTTCCAAAGGCTGTGGGGGAATGATGATCCTTACATTTTAAAATGGAATTTATCATTCATTGTTGGATTTGTTATTGAAGTTATTGTCACTACTGTAGGAGTACCATGGTACTGAAAAGTTGGTAGGAAATATTTTAAAGGAATAAAACCAAAATAGTATATATTTGCATTGGTTTCCTTTTATCAGAATTTTGTGAACAGTAGCTTTAAAACTATTTGATGATACAGCAAGTATTATGATTTAAATAACTTTGTGTTGTTAATTCTTGGAAATGTCTAAATTGAGCAGTGCCAGTCCACATTCTCCTCATTTATTTGAATGCTCCTACACAATGAACTTAGAACACAACTTAGAAATGGGAGGCAGAGGCAGTAGCTTTTGGATTGTGAAGTTTTTGTCATGCATAATTTCTTACCATATTTTATGGCAGCTGTACTCTGTAATGTGGGAAGGCAGTTTCTCATGTTGTTCATTTAACAAGAACAACAAAAATCAGTTCCAGCTCACATACATTGTGAAGAATTAGCCTGGAATATAATATAACTTAAATTGCTGTAAATTTCCTGTGTTCATCCTCAGAGAGGGTGAACTGCCACGTCATGCAATGTGTGGGTGATTTGTTCTTGGATGTTGACACAGGACATTTGTTTTAGTTCTGTAAGAATCCACAGGGAGAAAATGGTGTGTTTTTTTTTCATTAAGTACTTAGAAATTCCTAATTCTTCATATGATGGCTAATATTTTGCAAACCTCCCCTAGACATAAAATGAGATAATAAGCCTATTGTGGCATTTCCTGTACCAGGTTATTCTTTAAGAGATTTCCCATAAAATAACCTCCTTGACAGCACAGCATTGAGCCCTGCTATGCAAGCAGGTAGGTTCTTAACATGATGGGGTTTACTGTACTGGTGTAATAATGTACATGTGAAGTGGAGATTTCCTGATACCAAGTAAGTTTGTTAGGCATGAAGTATATCTAAACATTAGTATGGAAAGTGCAGCCTACCAGTACAGGTAGTCCTCACTTAATGACTGCCCTGTTTAACAAACATTTGAAGTTACGATGGTGCTGAAAAAGTAACTTTAAGACCAGTCCTTGCACTTAAGACCGTTGCAGCATCCCTGCAGTCCCATGATCGAAATTTGGGCACTTTGCAACCAGCAGGGGTTTATGACCATTGGAATATCCTGCGGTCATGTGATTGCCATTTGTGTGCTTCACTGCCAGCTTCCAACAAGCAGAGTCAATGGAGAAGCCAGCAGTAAAATTGCAAGTCACGATCACATGATGTCTTGCTTAACGACCACAGTGGGAGTGATATAAGTCCGGTACAATCACATGATGTTTTGCTTAATGACTGTGTAACTTATTGATGGAGTTGCTGGTCCCAGTTGTGGTTGTTAAGTAAGGACTACTTGTATCTCCTACTTCAAAGTGTGTGTGTGTGTGTGTGCTTGCACACACGTGTGAGTGAGGGGGAATTTGGGAACTTTTTTGTTTCTTTTGTGGACAAAAGAAGTAGCTTAAACCTGGCAGATGAAACCCATTTTATCCTTTAAAGCTCTGAACCCTCTCCCAAAATGTTCCCTGGCATATCTATGTTTGGAGTGGGCTCAGCATGTTGTGCAAAGCATTGATCATCCTCCTCCCTTTAAGGCCTTTTTGGTGTACTGTATGTGTGTGATAAAATATCAAAATTTAATTGCACTTAAACAATTAAAAAGTCTCCTTTGAGTCAAACTTGACTTCTGGAGATTACATGGACATGTCTATGCAGTTGTCTTAGCAACAGCACTTAAATGGTTTGCCCATAATAGTAATAATAATAATAATAATTTATTAAACTTGTATGCCACTCTGAGCAGCTCACAACAATAAAATAAATTGCAATAAAATCAATAAAATATAAAGATAAAAGATGGCAAGTGCAGTGAAGCGAGGGATCTCCCTCTCCCTCACTGAAGGCCTGGGTAAAGAGGCAGGTCTTCACAGCTCTTCCAGACAACAGCAAAGTGGGGGCCATCTGGATCTTGGGATCTTCCAAGGGGCTTTCCCTACCTAGTGGGGATCAGGTTACCCTAAACAGAGCTGCTATCAGCGGACACAATAAGGGTGGAGAAATATTGATATTTTGCAACTCTTCGTCCAGGATATATTTTCACTTTCCACTCAACCCTACAGCCATGTGATCTCTTAATGGTGTCCCATCTAAGAACTGACCAGGTCTGACACTGCTTACAGTTTTGGGATCTGCCCAGGTCACCTACATGCTGCCATTTAGTTAGCCTCAAAAACTAAACATATCTTGAACACTCAGTTTCACAATTAAACATGTTTTCAGAGATTAAGAAGTTTGAGTATGCTTTGTTCAATCAAAAATGCTTTAAAACTCCACTGACACAGCACTGTCTTGCCAAGTTTGATGGCTTGAAGAAAATTTAGTTTTGGGAAAGCAGGTTATAGTTTGCATACTTTGAACAGAGAGAAAAAATGCACATTAAATTCATTTCTAAAATTGGGAGACCTTTCTAACTTGATATCAGGGTTTGTTTTAGCCACTGTTCCAGAGGAGCAGCCTCATAAATTATGGTACAGATTACAGCAGGGCTACAATAGAAGGGCTTATTTGCACTGGCTCTTTACTGAAGTCAGAGCATTGTAATAAAATCCATTGCAAGGATGGGGCCTGAAAAGCAAAAGGGCTAAAGAGACACCGTAATAAATAAGAATTACAATAACTAACTGTTAACAGGACTGTGAAATATTTCTGGGATTTGTAAATAAAGCTACCTCAAATAATATGGAAAAAAACAACATTGTGAATTGAAGGATGTTCCTCATGCGATGGGCAAACAATTAGATTAGCATACTTGAGCATGAAGTTACAAACCAAGCAGTCATTCCCAGCTGGTGCACGGAGCCCAAATATGGTACATCTTATGTAGTCTTCACATCTCATGAAGTTTAGCTTTTGTATGTGGATCCCAGGGGTGGAATAAAGACCCTGCATGTAAAATATTTATTGGTGAATCTTTTAAATCAATTTTAAAGACAACAGGTAGCACATACTAGATCATTTGCTCTGCTTCTTCCCTCCCACCCACATTAAGCTAGAATAAAATAGGCAAGAGGGACTTTATGTCTTCATAAGCAACGAAATAAGGGAGTTCAATGTCACAACTTATTCCTTTTTTTCTTTTACAGCTCCATGTTCATGCATGTGTGTTAACCCGGAAACAAGAAGATTATCTGTTGGTCTTGATAATGGTACAATCTCAGTAAGTACATATAGTTAAGATTTGAGTTCTTGAAGGTGCAAAACTCAATTGAAATATGGTTTGGGGTAAGGTTTATAGCTCCACGCTAGACCACATGGGTTGCCTGCAAAGGTTTCTGGTTCAGTCTCTTCTTGTGAACAAATAAGCTTGTAAAAGGCCTTCAGACTTTGAAAATTGCTGGACTTCAACTCCCAGCTGCCCCAGCTAGCATGGCCAATGGTAAGGGATACTGGGAGTTGCTGTGCATCAGCATCTAGAGCACCATAGATTCCCTCTCTTAAATGTAGGTAGTACTGGGCTAAGGTGGACAAATGCTGTGTAGATTACTATGTTCCTGTATTCATTTGTCTTGGGAGAGAACAAACAAGGGTATTTTGATTTGGCACCCATGTACTGCATCTTTGGCAATTATGATCATGTTCTCAAGCTCTGGAATGTTACCTGGATACTTGTGCAATTTTAATATTGCTGATTTAAATATAGGGTCTTGGTGAGATGTATTACCTGTCACTGGGGAAGGAATGCAGCTGTTATCAAAACATTAATTAAGCCTGAGAAAGGAAGAAAGTGTCAGAAAGAAACTTAGAATGACTCCATCTTGAAAGTAGAGAGTGGACTCACTTTTCATGAAAACTTCACTCATTTGGTCCCTGATTTTTCTGTACATTCAAATTCAGCTGAATGGAATTAGCAGCCCAACCCAGTGAGGAATTCTGATTGGGATCCAGCCTCCCGCCAAAGAAATAACTTTTAAAAAGTAGTATACATTTCAAAACAATGAAGTTGAGAGTTTAATAGGGTTTTTGCTTCTCTTTTTTAACATAGAAACTTCAGAGCAATCAGATAGAACAGTGCGTGGTTAACAATGCTGCAACAGGGCTATTAAATTGGAGAGAAAACTGTTGCAAGATGAAAAAGCAACATCCTGCAAAAACATAGTTAAAAAGTAATATGGAAGTTTAACTTTCACATTCAGTTGGGAGCCAAACCACTATGTGTTTGATCCTTTCAATTCTTGCTCTTGAAGCATTTTTCCCCCAGATAGTGGTGGTGAAATTGTATTAAAGGCGCAATCCTATGCATGTCAGAAGTAAACCTTATTGCATCTAATGAGATTTACTCCCCCACAACTATGTGAAGAATTTCAGACTGCTTGCTGTATTACAGGTGTTTAGGGTTTTTTTAAGGAAAAATCTCTTGGGTTACAAAACATAGGACTGAGGAAGAAGGAAAGAAAAAACAAGCAAAATCAGCTGTCAGATTATCATCTTTTTTTCAGTTACAAAGTTCTTATGCATTCTCATTGCAGTATAAACTGTATAAGAGGAGACAAGCCCAAAAGTCAACTGGTTCTTCAGCTGAACTGGAACAAGTCCATGTTCTCACTTCATTTTACTTCCTCCTTTCTCTTTAGTAGGAATGGAATAGTTCCTAGGAAATTACAATGGGGAAACTAGAGCCCTTTGGATGTGGCCAAATTGTAACTCCCAGAATCCCTCACTTTGGCCATTCTTGCTGGGAGTTGCAGTTTCAGGGGGCTTTTATGCAGAACATAGGTAGAAATCAGGTGCAGTGCCAGAAAGCTGGAGGATGGCAGAGGGCCTTGGTGCTTTAGGAAAATGACTAAAGACCCCGGGCCATTAGAGTCACCAAATAGCTCTTCAACAGAGATACTAGAAAAAGTATTGCACAATTGATGAATAAGCCATTAGCAGTAAATACAGCTATTATTAGCACCACAACCAAAATGGCATATGAAGAGTATAAACCATGTTTCAGGCAGAATGAATCAGAGGGAAACAATATTACAGGATGTCAGGAAGGCTTTTTACAACAATTCAACACAGAAAAAGTTGAATAATTATTAGAGGATATGATTCTAAAATAACCATTCATCCTATTAAGTATAGCGGTAAAAGATTAAGGGAGCTGGGAGAAAGAAAGAAGGCAGAGGTAGTTTTATTTTTAAAGGGGCCTTGATGACAAAACTTTGATGAAAATTGTATATGTATGCATGCGTGTGTGTATATACAAAAATAGTAATTTCTCCAAAGTAGAAAGAAGATCAAATGGATGGGATATTAGTAGTTTATTTGCACACGTGGAGAAAAAGCAGCACATAAGACTGCAGGAAAGGAATGTTGGCTGGATCCTCTGGCAAAAGCTGAGTTCATTTCATGTGTATGCTTTTTTTTTTTTTCCAAGCTCTTGCGTAAACTTAAATTCTGTGACAGGAACATTGCGCAATTTTCTTTTTGTTTCTTATTCCCCATTTTATTAAGCTAATCTGCGGAGGGCTGCCTGCTTTCCATTTCAAATGTGCTGCCAGAGCCTTTTTTCTGTTTCCTGTCCCTCAGGAGAAGCAACTCAAATATGCTAATGTTTTTAGATGGCTTGGCTGCACAGGAAGCAACAGGGGCATTTTCAAAGTCCCCCTGTCCCCTCATGAAGCTTCCTTCAGCTTCTTTTTCAAGGAATCTTTTGTGCATTCTCAGAACTTTTTAAATAATTGATTTCTGTATAGTATTTGTCAGACTACCTTAGCAGGTGCTCGTACCAGCATTTCTTAAAACAACAAAATCAGTTTGTCACCTTAAGTTCAACCTGGCTGCTTTGTATGTGTTGGTCAAGAAGGCATTTCTGTATAAAGCTTTGATCTTAGGGCAATCCTGAACACTTTGTCTCTTCCCCTGTCCTTTAAAAGAAGGGGCTTGTCTCCTAGATTAATTTCTTTTTTTTTTCCCCCAAAGAGAAGCACCATGCTAATTTTTAGGTGATGACAAAGCTGCAGTTTAAAACAGTGCCTTGTTAAACATTCTCTTTCTCCAAGCTGGAATGGCTGCAGGTATTTCCCAAAGTGCACATTGGAAGTGGCATGTTGGAAGTGTAACAGAAGAGAGTGAAAGCAGAGCACTGAGTATATTTCTGTTGCAAGGAGAGGTGGATACTGGTCTGTGCTGGTTGTGCAATTGTCCTCTGAGCACATGAGACTCGGATTCTTTTTTATTAATGGGTTTCTAGCGATCACTATAAATACCCCCTTATATGTAGCAGAATAATGTGTATCTTAGACATACTACTGTAAGTTAGGCTGATTGGGGTGTTAACTGTGTTTCAAAAAGCAATGCATGAGCTTATAATAGTATCCAAATAACAAAATTAGGCATCTGTGTTCTAGACTTGTATTTTTCTCAACTCCAATATAATGGCTTTGATGGAGTTGCCAGTTCTTTAGCACAGTCAAATTGCAGCAGTAATCATTGTCTTGCAAAGGAAGATGTACATGGAGACAGCTTTGCTTGTTGCCTCTATGGCAGCAAAAATGCCAAGGACAGTTTAGCAGAACCTCTTGTTCTCTCTTCCAACCTTGGATTTGAAGCCATGACCTGAACTATTTTTCATGCAGTACAATGTGGCATTATCTTGCATCACTGACATTCTTTTAAGTAGAAGTCATTGGTTTTTAACTTTGCTAACAGTTTCTTCTATGGCTGCATGCTATCCTCCTGTATATTTGTCTTCTTTTTGGTCACTCTTTGATGATGAATAAGCTCCATGTAACTGTAAACATCAACCTTTTTTTGTGTACCTGTAGAAAATTGGAGTGATTTCTGGTGATGGTCGCAGCTTAATCACCGTCCTGTCGTTGCCTACTAGCTCTTATTTTTATTTTCTCTAAGCTTTTAGAAAAATCACTTATCTTGATTAGTCTCAACCTCCCATCACACAACTTTCCATTCCAAACTAGCAAATCACATTCCATCTTAATGTTATATGTGAAGCCAGTCTATAAGTCAACCATCCCCAACCTGGTGCTCTCTGGATGTGCTAGAATTCCTAGAATTTCCTGTCAGCATTCTGGGGATAGTAGTTCCAACACATTTGGAGAGTCCTAGGTCTAATCAACTTACGCTTGCCACAGAACTCTTAAAAAGCATCTCAAGTTTGGTTCTGAGAAGAAAAACTTTGCTATGCAGATGTTATGCAGGAAAACCAGGATTTCCAAGCCATGTTTACATTTTTCACAGATACCCCTGAGTTTGTGGGGTGGGGAGGGTGTGGTTGGAAGGGTCAGATTTCCTGCATTCTGAACTGAGATGCCTTCCGTGTTCTCAGACAAGCCAATGAATCTGAGGTGAAGAACTTGCCACTTTCACAGGAATCTAAAGGGATAAGATCCAAAACATTGACACAAAATGATAAATTCTTGGATTTTAACAAGAAATGTTACGTTGCAAACTAATATTTAGATATTTAATACATTCTAAAGTGGCTGCTCTGTTATTTTCCAGGAATTTATTTTATCAGAAGATTACAACAAGATGACAGCAGTTAAAAGTTACCAGGGTAAGAGATGCAGTTGGTATTTTAAGAGAAAAAAAAACTCTGGATTTTTTTTCCTTATTCCACAGCCTACAAAAGCAATGAATTAATATTTTAAACTTGCTTTTTAAAAGTTCTGGCTAATCTGAGACTGTTTTCTGGCATAATGCATATTTTAGGGTGGTTTTAATTTTTTTCTTAAAGCCACTATCTGCAACCTTAACTGTATTCTGTTCTTCTCCATTATTGAATTCTGGGGCTATGAATTATGAAATACTTTTTCCCCTATTGTGAGAAAAGTTTGAAACAATATCACCTTTTAAAAAGAAAATAAAATGTTAAATACATCACAGCGCTACCTGACCTTCAACTTCTTGCATTTGTCCAGAATTATATAATGGCAAGCAAAATCTCTTTATGATTTTAAAACAACTTGAGGTCAAATGAAAGAGCAGTCTGCATTCTTCCTCCACAGCTTAACACCCTTGGATGATAGGTTATTTTATCACATCTCAAAACCATACCCATTCCAGCCTTTAGCTGAGTCTCAGTCAATAACATGAATGAATTGCTATTAGAAGAAATCAATTTAATGTATTGTGCTTGGTTCCAAGTGTTGTCACTTAACATGGGAATATTACCTACGCTGATTCCAGAATACAACAGTTTTCAAGGTTCCTGATCTAAAATTGTTTTTTTAAGTCTTTCACTATCTGGAAATAATTGAGCAAAAAAAGAGAGAAGAGACATTCTGAGAAATTTATAGACGTAAGAGAAGAAAACATATGGTTTAAGCATTCAAAGAGTGAATAATTAGAAAGGTAGTTTGCTAAATCTGTAGCTCTTGATTGTTTAATAATGATCAGATTTTCTACTTAATGAATACTTCAGCTCCTCTCAGGTCTGTGTCATCAAAAGTGTTCATTTTAAAAGAAAGGTGGTCATTGTGTAGCCCTCTAGATATTTGACAACTCCTTAGGCGGCATGGTTTGTAGACTTTGGGTCAAATTAGGATTTGATCTTTCAAATCCAATAAAGGCACTTCACTATGAAGCCTTCTGCTGAAATAAATACTGCAGTCTGACCAAAGAGCCTATCAGTAATACTATCTCTGTAACAGCAGGACCTGCTGAAAGTAATTTTTTCTGTCAAAAAACACCTATCCATAGAGGATGATTATTTTTCCTTTTTTTACTAGCTTTTCTTGATTCTCTTATAGGACAGCTTTCTTCAGTCTGGTGCTGCTGTTCTGCTCTGTTGGATTACAGATCCCATAATCTTCAGTCTGAACAACTGTGTCTGGCAGATGATGGGAATTATAACCATACATCTAGGGAGCATCTAGTTGGGGAAAGTTGCTATAGATTTTTGCCCTCCCCAGAAGACTTAAGCTGGGCTCTGGTCTGTGTGCTACAGTTGTATTTGTCCTGTGTGATTTAATCACTTTAGTTGAGGCATGAGATTAGGGAATGCAAAGAAATGGCCTTTCTAAATGGAGTGATTCATTATGAAAGCCAACATTAGCACTCTGCTTGTTGTGAAGAGAAACAAGGCTAATTCATTGTTTGGATTCATTAATCGGATGACATTTGTAATAATCAGATAACAAAATGAAAGTTTATTTAAATTAAAACTGTACATTTGCTTCTCAGCTTTGGAAAGTGCAAACGAAAATACAGCTCCATGTGATTGAGCTAGAAAAAAATGACAGATTTTTACATTGAAACTTATATAATTTGGGGTTCTTTGTTAAGAACATATGGGAATGACTGCAGATGCTTCCATTCTCTCATTAGCGTAGATCAGTGTTACCTGAGCAAGTGCACACCAGATGTGTTAGGTGTTTAAAATTCCCAGAATTTTAGGTCACTCTTTTGGCTATGCTGGTAAGGAATTTGGGAGTTGCATCCCAATACATTTTGAAGAAAGCTAATGTAGAGAATGAAAGCTACAGTATTGATATCTGAGACCAAGATTAACTCATGTTTGCCCCTCAGTGCTCTTTGAATTAAACTTTGGTTTCCGGTTGTCTAAGCACCTCCATTTAGTGGTGGTTGGTTCTCAGGGCCATTCATGTTGCTTTTCCACACCATTGCTCCATTCACGTTGCTTCTTCCCTGCTGAATTAGGCATATAGCATGGCTTGATCCTGCAGCTCCATAATGCTTGCACTCCTTTGAGGTCATTGGGGCAACTTGAAGGAATCCATGACAATAGCAGAAATGGAAGGAGGTTGCTTTAGGACCATAATAAACTCTAACACAAATATAATTTGGAAGTGATAGCTTTCTTGGAGAAAACAGATAGAAAAGCTCTCTTGTTATCACATTAACCATTTTGTTCTTCCTCTTCCAGCTCATCAGAACAGAGTGATGATGGTCCTTTTTGTTCTGGAAATGGAGTGGCTCCTGAGTATCGGGCAGGATAAATACTTTACTTGGCACTGCTCTGAAAGTGGCCAGCGGCTTGGCAATTACCGAATTAGTGCGGGCGCTTGCGGGTTACAGTATCCTTTCCAGGAATAATGGCGCTATGTAAGATTTTAAGGAGTTTCCAACCTGCCATTTCATAATATAACAATCATAGAATTTATAAATGTGCTTTTATTAATTGAAATTATAAACTGATTTTATGCTTCTGATACACTGTAGCTGCTTATTTGTGCTGACTTAACAGCCCATAAATATCTTGCATTGGTTCCTGTACAGTATTTTGAAATACAGATATATATTTTTTTAGGAACTAGAAATGCAACAGTTGCTGATTGGAAATGTGTCATCTGTTTGCAGAGCAGACAAGGGTGGGTTTGAATAAATGAAATGATATCTAAATGTTTCTGAGCTTGATGTGCTAGAGCATTTGGGGGTCATGCCTTAGAAGGCATAGTTGGATTTTATCTATTCCCCAGTACATTTGAAATCAAGATGGCTTTCCCCATTATTCAACTGGAATGAGAGGAAAGTGAGGGCAGATGGCCTATATCAAATGAGTTCCGGCAAACTAACCTCTGCAGAGGGAGCACCTCCCATGCAAGAGAGCTGTTTGCTGAAGAGAATGAGATGGATCACTGCTGCTCTTGGATTTCACAATGAGGTGGATTTGAATCTGAACTGCTTAACAAACCATGAGTTGGTGTTTGCTAGTAATGCAAGTATTACAGTCAGTGTAGGAACTTGTCTGTGCTCCACAGAACACGAATACCCTAATATAGGAAAAATGTAAATGGATTCAGAGCACGGTTCTCCTTCTCTGAGCTGAGAGACTTTCACCGTTCCTCTTGAGGAGGCACTTATTAGCTTGCAGAGACACAGGACAAAACACTTAGTTTCAATGATAAAAGCAAAATCTGTGTTGTTATCTTCTACTATGCTGGAGAGGGTTTGGTATTAGGTGTTTTCCAGCAGAGGTGCTGCCTCTTGCTAGCAGCCCTGAGAGTAAACGGTGGCTCCTTTGGGGATGGCTGTGGGGGAAAAAAGTTGAGTCCGTGCAAGCACTGAAGAGTGGGGAGAACCTCTCCTAACACTGTAGGTTTCCTGAATACCTCTGTACCAGATTTGATGTGGAGACCCGGAATGTTTTTATTGGTGATCATTCTGGGCAAGTGACCATCCTTAAACTAGAACAAGAAAATAGCAGTCTCATAACAACTTTCAGAGGACATACAGGTATGATTTTGAGTAAAAATCATTTTTTTCACTTGTTCTGTGATCAGCATAAAGGGATATGAGACACTCTATAAGAACCGTGTGTAACCCTGGGGTTCAAAGTTCTGTTGAAATCCTTTCAATTTTAATTTGACTCGCTTACATGTTGTGACTGCTTAGAATATCTTGTCATTTTCAGCACTGTGAGTGTCTTGCAGCATTGCTTGAAACAGTTTTTCTCATATTGTTGGAGGGCTTTCTTCAGACTTTGCCTCACAACCAGATATTTCGAATAGGAAACAAATTTGGGAAGGTTAAAACCTGAGTGCCTGTAGGCAACTGTTGAAGGAGAGTGGCCTTGGGAGGAAACGATGAACAGAAGGAGCAGTGGCTGAGAAAGACGAGGGCTGCGGCTCAATATAGTAGTAGTTAATCTGCAGCACAGAGCCAACTTTCCAGTGCTGTGTGGAACTGATTGATTCAGACTTCTGCTAAAAGCTACCTGTCTCTCCCGTAGTCATCATCATCTTCTGGGAGAGTAAAGAGAGTATCAAAGGAAAAAGGGAGAGTGGACAACGTCACCTACTACTTGGGCCATACCCACCAGAAGGGTCCATCACAGAAAAGGCTTATTTCTGGGCTCCCATCCCACCCACCTGCTAGCCGATGGGACCTCTCAACACAGCGTCTCTGCTAGACCATCTGAGGTGGACAGATGCTACCTGGAGCAGATGGTCTCAAAGACAGTAGCTTAGAGGGAAATTCCTTTTGTGCCTTTGACCTCTCCACAAGGGACTGAAATTTGGGGGAGAAGCATTAAAGTGTGGCAGAGGCTGGGCCATTCTGTTTGATAAAAGATATGTGCTCCTGCGCAAGCATGCCCTATCAGGCTGAGGAATGGCAGATGCCCACATCCAGCAATTCAGCAGTCAGAGCTGGGAAGATTTTTGCTCATGCTAAAATCCAAATTCCATTACCCAGAATGGAAAGTGAAACACACTCCATTCTTTGACAAACAGTTGTTCAGCAGGACTAATGCTCAACAGCAAGCCTGTGAGGTAGCCTGAGCTGAGAGGCATAACCAGCTCAAGTCACCCAGTCAGCTTCTGTGGGCTTTTCCTGCCTTAGTCCAACTCTTTAACCACTAGCGAGGTTGTCTGTAGAACCTGTCTGCCCAGGTTCTAATGTCTTATAGAAAATGGCAGATCCATAGTTCCTCAGTGATAATGGTGTATGTGGCTGATACAAATCTCCATCTTTCCCTTCTCTTTTTTCTACTCTTCCCTGCCCTCACATTTTCAGGTGGCATTAGTGCCCTCTGTTGGGACCCAGTGCAGCGGGTCTTATTTTCAGGCAGTTCTGATCATTCCATTATTATGTGGGACATTGGAGGAAGAAAAGGAACAGCTATTGAACTCCAAGGACACAGGTACAAAATGGGCATCAGATGCTTCTCTCTCTCTCTGTTTCTCTTGATATTATCTGGGTCCCAAAATGTGCTTGTTTTGTTTACATACATGTAAGGAAAAATATCTCATTCAGAATTGTGGCTCAACTAACATTTTTCAGAATGAATGAGATTCAAGAATAGCCCTTGAAACAGCATGCTCCAATAAGTTTCAAGCAAGTGAAAATGAAAAACTCCTGTTTCATGTAAACACAAACCAACCAAAACACAAAGTAAACTGAAGGCCCCTTGGGCTTATTTCAAACTCTGAGCCGTTATAGTTCCTGGAATGCCACAAAATGTCAGATCTTTATGAGAGATTTCATGACATTCTGGACATTGAATTATTTTGGTAAAATTATTTTTGACACCCAAGTATGAAATCCTTCAATAGGGCCTGTAATCTGAAAAAATTGTTGACCCCGGAGATACAATAATATTTTCAGGGATTGGTAGGAAAGCTACATACTAATATGACACATACTTCTGTTTTTGAAAGTTAAGTCAGGCATTTCACTGAAATAATTCAATTATCTTTTATTAGTGGCAGCAGGATTTAGAGGCAGGCTTCACTTCTAATCACACTCTCTCCAAATTATGGCTAATTTTTTAAATGGGAGAGTAACAATTGAGTAGTTCAGTTGCTTCAGATTATTAAACTTTTAGAATCCACATGTTCTCAGCTTTGATACCGTATAGACCAGTGTTTCTCAACCTTGGCAACTTTAAGATGTGTGGACTTTAACTCCCAGAATTCCCCAGCCAGCCATTCAAGTATATGTCTGTGAAGTGTATTAACTTGGGAAAAGGTTGAGGCAGAAGAGAGACTGGGGTCTACTCACAGATCTCTGGACTGGAGCAAGAATCTCCTATTCCTTATTGTTTGACCAACATAATCTTTAAGGTCTTAATTACACCATTGGAATCTCTCTCAAGTGGTGACTTTGCACCTGGCTCTAAGTGGTAGATGTTAGGGTCCTATTAAAATACAAATATCCTGACATGTGTCTTTCCTGTCTTAAAGAACCATAGAGATCGTAATTTGGTAGAGAAATAAGCAGGTTATGGAGGAGTGTATACTGAGGTTGTAACACTCTCCCAGATAAATGCCACAATATATGATGTATGGTCTCAATTTTGCTATGGATAAAGGCAGGGCATGGAGGGAGGATTACAGAATTCAAATTTTGTGTGTGTGACAAACAAGAGAGATAGAAGAAAGTGGGCATGTTCCAGTTGTTGATCCTATTCATAAATGGTTCCTAATATTGTTTTTATTTTTCTCTATGTGCTCTGCAGTGATAAAGTTCAGTCCCTCTCTTACTCCCATCATACTCGACAACTCATCTCTTGTGGGGCAGATGGCAGGATCGTTGTCTGGAATATGGATGTTGAGAGGCAAGAGGTAGACAATCATTTCTTCCTCTTTATCTGGTCGGGGAAATATCACTTATCTAATCTTCAAAAGATGCATCTAAAAGCCATTTAAGCCAAAGGTGACTGCCTGAAAGCTCGATATAATAGCATCGTGTTGTGTTTTCCTGTTGGGGGCTCATTTGCTTCACCACTGCCCCTTCAGCCTGATGCCCTTCAGATGCCTTGGACTAGGTCAGGGAGTTAATTTGGAAGGTCAAACTGAAATGGTTCTGAGAAGACAACTGCTTCCATACCTATTTGCAAAACCTTTTTACATGGGGCCAAAATTGGTCTCCAAACTGTTTTGGGGCTGTTTTGCAAGCTGAGGAGAGTTTAAGGGTAGTAATGGCAATGATTCCCACTCTTAATTTGAGAGAAAGGAGAATGTCTCCTATATTTGGCAGTTCTACCAGCAAATGTTGGTGGTACAATCTCAGATTGCTGGGGGTTACAGGTGGGGTGCTTGGGAGCTCATGCATCCCATGAATGAAGGATTGTCCATCCCTGCCTTTGGTGCTTTGTTAGGTCCACTGCTGTTAGGAGTGACAGATATCCAGTGCTTTCTCTCTCACACATACAAGCATCATTGGAACTACCTGTTTACATCTACTGAATATAATTCAAATTGCATGGAATCTGATGCTGGATATACATATTTGTTCCTCTTAGAAGCTGGTCTGAGATTTTTAATGCAGACAGCCAGCTCTGTATGTAGTTTGAGGAAATACATATGGTAAAACATTAATTTAACAACCCTCATTTGCCAAAGTTCAAATGCAATGAACAAAATTTATGTCTGGACATCCCCTCAGAAAAATAATTGACTAAGTCCACTGTATCCAAAGTTATCTGGATGATTCACTTAATTTATGTTATTTCTGCCTATTTACCTCAGTTGTCTACATTTGTAAGTATACAAATGATGCAGTTTACATAATTAGGCATATTTTCATAATTGCATGCTTATATAAATGCTGTATATTGACATGAATCTTATATATTTAGATTTGACAGACATTCAAGAGTAACAGATATCCTCTTCCCTAAATGATCAAGATTTTACTGTATTCCTATGGAGGAAATTGCTTCAATTTGCACTCAAGATTTTCGATAAGGAAGAACAGAATTGGCTCAAGGAACATATATTCATATGCATCAGGGAAAGATACTTTACACCTTTACACTCAATTTCCTGAAGAAAAAATAGCAGCCATTCCCCAGCATGTCAACTGGCATTATGATTCTAAATATTAAAATTAAAACCTAAGAAAACAAAAATGGAGACAAGACAAACCAAATATATATAGAAAGTGTTATGAGGGAAGCATCAGAGATTGGACTGAGAATCCATTATTTGGACCTTCTGGTTATCAACTTTACATCTAAATTGCACAATATAAACAAATGTATACAGAAATTGTTGATTCATTTAATGTAGAATTTCAAAATAATTTGCTGTGCTAGCCCCAGAGAAGAGTGGAGCAGCACATCTCCTTAAGTGACTAGACTTGGCTTCTATTTGCAGCCCGTGTACAACTGAGTTTAAGGATTCCCCCCCCCCCATTTTTTTCTTAGACACCAGAGTGGTTGGATAGCGACTCTTGCCAGAAATGTGACCAGCCGTTCTTCTGGAACTTCAAACAAATGTGGGATAGCAAGAAAATAGGCCTTAGACAGGTATGTGTCATGCTGCTCTTTGAACGATTGAAGATCGCCTCCTGTTCCCCTTGATGCAGCTTCCTGTGCACCAATAGTGAACATTTCAGAAAGGTGGGTTGTTATGGAACTAAAACTGCACTACTGGTGCAAAAGAGTGTGTCTGCCAGTTTGGGAAAACCCTGTGTTCTAGAAGTCAACAAAACATTTGATTTGGAAATGTTTCAACTATTCAAATTTCATTAGAAGCATTCTGATGTTTCACCTTACTGAAATGTGGTTCAAAACGTTTTGTTCAGTTCTGTGTTCAAAGATAGTATATGTTATGGCTTAGTAACCATAAAATGCTGGGTGTTTGAGAGAGAAAAAAATAACAGAAAATAGGGATGGTGGTGAAGCTGAATAGTTCATGGGACTTGGAGGTTGCAGCTGGGAAACTGACTGATTCAGCATTTTTAGTGAGTGAGGAAAAATAAACTCAGCTTTTTCCATGTAATCCATGTCATATTTTATTGTGGGTCCTTCTTTTTCTTAACACTGATTCTAACTTATGAAACTCATCTATATTTTTTTGGGTGTATGGTTTGATAAATTCCCAAAAATTAATGGGCATCAAAGGAAATTAATTTGTATGAATTGGTAGTCATTGGTGAAGATTCACACTAACCTTTCCATGGAAATAATGGAACATTTTAATCATTTCACAATAGAATAGTGTGATTACCAGTATTATTACTACATACTGTGACTTCTTCCATGTGTAAAAGTTGAAAACAGCAACTCCTGTGAGACTTGATCTTTGGGCTTGATGCTTTATGTTAATGAAATACTTATTTCTTCTTGCTGATATACTACAGATGAATCTGCTTTTATTTATTTATTTCCCAAATTGGTTTCTAATTTTTAACTTGGAATGGCAGAGCTTTGGGGGCAGGAAGGGAAATTGATAGGATCCCATCTAACATGCTTTGATTGGATAGCTGTACACATAGATACACATACTAATTCTTTCAGTTCATCTGGTGGATCTTATATGCTTTTTAAATTTCAGCATCATTGCCGGAAGTGTGGAAAAGCAGTGTGTGGTAAATGCAGTTCAAAGCGTTCTTCCATACCTCTGATGGGCTTTGAATTTGAAGTGAGAATCTGTGATGCTTGTTATGAATCAATAACCGATGAGGAGTAAGTAACTTACCCCCTTCCAACTGTTCGGGAAATTTATGCCGGTTTCTGGAGAGAAATGAAATACCAAGATAGTTTTGGAGGTTTTTCTAGATCTAAGTCAGAGGTGGGAAATTTTTATGTTGCTGAATGATAGTTCCCCAAATAATCCACCATGGTTATGGTGGCTAGAACTGTGAGAAATTATAGTTCAGAGACTTACTGAAGGCCACAGAGTCTGAATTAAGACTTAATTTACTTATTTTCCGCATGTAGATATGATACAGTGATCATAACCTTCCAATTCCTGTTTTTTTCACTTTGTCCTATTGTGTTCTTCCTTTAGACGTGCTCCCACAGCCACTTTCCATGATAGCAAACACAACGTTGTCCACGTTCATTTTGATGCAACACGGGGTTGGTTGCTAACATCCGGAACAGATAAAGTTATGAAGGTAAGAATCCAACTTACCCCAGCTGAATCTGTAGTGATTCTGAATCGTTTTAATAACCTTATTCTTTTGTCTCCTTTTGAACAGTTGTGGGATATGACACCAGTAGTATCCTGATGCAGTGCTGAAGTGGGAAGCAACACAGTATTAATGAAGAAGAGATTCTTAATTCTGTAACAGAAAATGAAACGAGCTATGTACTGACTGATAAACGAGAGAACTAATCTTTCTGGATGCTTTTTTTCCCCAAGTAATCTATCAAATCCAGGGTGAAGACTTTGCACCAAATGATCTACTTCACAAAATGCAGATTTTTTTTTTTTAACCTAAAAACTACACTGTCTGGCTCCATCCATTTGGAGCTCATCTGGAAGATTGTGTGTGTGACATTATTTGTGTTTTGTGTTGACATGCTGCTGGGGTGGTGGATCTTCACAAATGTGAGCAGCTGCCTGCAATATTAGATTGATAAGGCTGCTCTTAAGAGACAAAAGAGAAAGCTATATATTCTTGTTTTTTTTGTTGTTGTTGGTAACTGACCAAGAACTTTCATTATGAAATACAAAAGATCAGATGGTCAACCTTTGCATTTATTCTCTAGAAAACGGTACCATAGGTTTGGGAGTGGGCAGGGAGAGGAAATGGGCAAAGTCCAGTCCTTTTTCTTCCAAAACCAACTGGAATGTTTGTTTTATGTCATTATCAAAATAGCTAACCAAAGCTTTCTAGCCCTGGGCACCACCAGTAAGTACATAAACCAGTTTCAACTGAAAAAACATAAAATGGTTTCATAGTTGCCGGTAATTAGTCTCTGGAGAAAGGGCCCTCCATGTAAGTTGGATCATTGCTTCTGAAATTTCCTCTGGGGAGTCTGCTGGAAGTGTGCTTTACTGGGTACGGTTAAAACTAATTCATGTCACTTTTCTGGAAGGATGTATATTTTTTAAAAATGCTGATAATTGTAATTTTTAATTTTCAGTGTAACTCTCAAATTAATATAGTGAAACTTCACATTTTGCATTATTAGGCAATTTTTTCAAAAAATAAAAATATGAATTAAATACTTACTGTTTACTATGCTTTAAATCTCTCTCAACTAACTCCTAGAGAATCCTAAATTCCGCTAATTTAAAGACTGATGCCTGACATTTCTTGCTTTTTGTTTATTAAAGAAAACAGACATTACTAGTTTATTTACAGGCAGGTGCTATACTCGTACACACGTAGAAGATATCCTTTCATACAACAGAGAACATGTTCTTTTCCATTCACTTTTCAGCACCTTTACATTCATACATGCATCTTTACATACAGTCAGATATAAACAATTATGAGAAGTCAGATAGGGAGAGGATATGGGCATCCCAGGATCTCAGCTGAAGAAGGAGACAGAGAGTAGTCTCTACATAGTAGCCATGTATATTTCCAACAGAGAATATCCAAGTGGGACGTCTGTACTCTGAGATGGCACTCTGAATATGAAACAACAGTATGCCAGTATAAGTGACTGACTCCCGTTTGTGGAACTGGGCATCAAGACACGGAAGTCTCTTGATATAGAAGGGCGGGAAAGCTGATATTCTTCCATTCAGAAGTCTGAATAAATTACGTTGCACTGCTTTGCCTGCTGCTGATAATGTGCATGCACTTCGCAGCCTTCAGATGGTGAACTAAATACTAAGATGTGACGGTTGGAACAGATCATGGAGAACAACTAGTCCAAACCACTGTCCAAAGCAATTTTTAAACTCTAGGTTTTAATGGAATTTTGGCAAGTGTCAAGAGATATCAAAATGCTTTCCCCCCCCCCAAAAAGGGGTGCTCTCAGTTTGGTCTTACGATGTTTCTCATTTGGCATGTTACTATTGGGGAGGTGATTGATTAATTCATAGTGACTTGAGTCATGTTGAGTTTATTGGCTGCAACCAGTACCTTGAGATTTTTCAGATGATAGATACTATTATTAATAGTAGTAGTAATAGGCAGATTAATAAGACTACCTCATCCTCATGGGAAAATAAAAAGTGCCTATGAGTTTTAAATAGCCAACATCTATAAGGAACATGCCAGTGATGAAATAGAAGCAGCCATGGAAATGAATAGAAGTGTTCTTCTAGCCTGCAGCTTACAATCAAAAAGTGAGGTCTTTCATAGAACTATATTGTAAATTATATAGACCATAATTTACAGTATTAAACAGACAAATTATAATTTTAAACAGTTAAAATTATATAACCATAATTTACAATAAATTGAGAAAGAGGCATATTTACACATACATTATAATGTAGAAATAGCATTAAAAACATTGGTGTCACAAATATTCCCCCTCTCCATTTGAAAAATTATACCCAGCAGATCAAATAATATTTATTTATTAGCTTAAAATATAAAGCATTTCAAAATTGTTTTATATCTCATTCTGCAGATAGTGGGGAAGCTTGCATTTTTTAAAAAAATAACTTCAGATGTTTATTGATTAGCTGTAATGGCTACAAAAAAAAAAATCTTTAAAATCCATAAACTCAACTCAAAAATGAATGAAAGCAACAATCTTAACTGATAAAAATAAATAGCAAAGAGTGATAACATGTAAATTAACTCACAGTTATAATTCTCATGACTAATGTGTACACTTAAGCTGGTAATGAACTGGATTCATACAACACAGCCACACACACACAAAAACCTTAAGATTGCAACTAAGGAAGATTTGTGTATTATGCACATGCAACCTCTTTCCCTTTAACTGGACTGGTTAAGGATCTTAGAATAAGACAGCCAGTGTGTTTAATAAGATTAGCAAGATTTCCATTGTTATGGTGGTCTGTGTCTATAAGAGCGGTAAAGGACAGGTTGCACATTGCAAGAATCCTGAAGGTCAAAGAGTGCAATTTTAGGTTTCATGCCTCTTTTAGAGGATTAAAGATAAAGCTGGTAAATACGCAAATTCAATTATAATCTAAAAAATGTCATCCCATAATCTGCTTGAACAAGGTTGCTCATCCTTTTTCAAGTGCACAATACACGGGTTTTTAATGGTGTAAAGGCCCAGGACAAAACTCAATTATATTTAATCTTTAATGTTAAAACTTAAATGAAATTAACATAGTTATTTAAACATTCCCCTCCTTTGCTATATTAATCCTTGCAATTTGGGGGCAACTTTTCCAGGGTTACAATTGTTGCCCAAGGCCTTTGAAGCTATTTGCAGTTCTGGGACTTCAGACTGCATTTACTTCCTGAGTGCTTTACCCAATTCTAAGGAAAATCGTTTGTCACTCTGACACTTTCTCTTTCCTTCTAGAAAGCAGTAACAACCTCTTTGTAATTGACAAGTTGTAGAGCAATGGAAATCAAAGGTAGCTTTCAGCCAAGACCAAGAACATTTTTCAACACCAGACTTTTGTTGCTGCTTGCTCTCCTCAAACATCTGCCAAGACTCTGTGTTTTTGTGGGGAGGGGGAGAAACTGGCACATTAAGGAGAAGAGCAATTCAGAGCACATGTTGTCTAGCCAGTTTAGATAATATATTGTTAGTGGGCATAGATGAACAGTCAGGAACAAAAGCCAATAATTTAAACATTTTATGGATTATATATATTTTTTAAAATGATAATTCGACTCCAAGTGCATCAGGGATTATTTTAAGCCAAAGGATTTGTCCAGACATCACATTCAGCAAGAAACAAGCACATTATATGTGTAAGTCAGGGCACACTGAATGTAAAACTAGGACATTTGCTATAATTCCTATGTATGCTATACAACTAGCTCCATACCTCTGATCTTATACATCTTAATCTTCCTTTGTAGTGTATTGTTGCTTGGAATTGCAACAGATGCACCGGGGTAAAAGAGAAGAAAGACCACCACAGTATGACTGGTCAGAAACATTCCATGTGCAAAACTGCGCAGGATTTCATCACAGTCATTTTGAGGATAATGGAAAGACAGAATGAAACTTTGCAGATAGAGTGAAACCACCCAGTGGTTGCTCAGGATGAACCAGAGGAAGGGGGAGATGTGAGTGTGAGATGAATGTAATCTTTGTGAGCATTCTGCCACCGTGGATGTTTGTCACTGTCATTGTCATCATCAAGCATGAGTGATTTGGAAAGCAATTGCATCATACTAGTGGAATCCAAAAGCAGAAGAGCTGCCTATAGTTTTTTTTTAAACAGAGGAAGAACCAAAAGAAGAAGAAAAACTCCCTGAATTGCAGGTAAAAGCAATTTGTTAAAGTACTGGCTGCTTTGTAACACATTTCTGTTAGTAGCTCCTATGCCTCTTGGCCAAGGTTTACATGTATGATTATGATTTAATTAATCTAAGTGTATGAGTTGCAGTCTAGATCACAAATAAATAGTCATATATCCACATTTCAATAACCTATTACTCTCTCCAAAAAGTGGACTATAGGAACAAGTAGGGTGTTATCTTCTAAACTTGCCAATATATTTTATTTATACATTTTCCCAGCATTTTTAACCATGCCTAACAATGTAGAAAGTTTGGCAGGCAAAAATCTTCCCAGATATTCACTGTTTCTCCATGTTAGGGAATTCTTCTCATATTCCATTTCTTCCTGTGATATAGCACAAGTGTTGTGTTGCAAAAAGTCAGTTGCTCTTTCTGTGAAATGGTAAAGGGTTTCCCAACCTGCAAAAGAAAATAAAAGGTATTATAAGCCATTGTCAATTGGTTCTCCAGTGCCCTTTTTTCCAAACTCTAAATATGCCAATGGGTTTTTCCAAGATTAAGCCCTTTCAGCCTCCCAAATCAAAGGGCCATCTTTACTGGGAGATTAATGATTAGCTCAGTCTCTGTAGTAATATGATAGCTGATTCCCCTGGGCTATTGTAAGCCTACCTGCTTCCCCATGTTTTCCTCAGTGCTTGAGGGGCAGTTGATAGCTCTGCTAATACTTAATAAAATCCTCCCTGCTAAAGCCATAAAGCACGCCTGCAAGTTAGATGCAGTCTCCAAAAATCCTATTCTGAATAAAACTCTCATTCCCTCCATACTGATTCAATTCACAGGAACTGAAGCAGCTGATGGTTTCTTTCCCACATCTTCAAAAGTTTTCTTTCCAAACATCCTTTATCAGAAGTCTGCTCCCTGCAAATATTGTCAGATGAATAACAATATCATGGCTGATGTGGGTCTTCCGGGCTGTGTGGCCGTGTTCTGGAAACCCACAAACCCCCACCCTGCAGGCACCCTCGCTGATCTCCATAAATACCCACAAAGGGTCACATCATCCTGGGCACAGAGAGAACCGCC